GGTCATTCATTCATAGTCCGAGGAATGAATGATCCCTGCCATATAAATCCAAGCTTAACAATTGGAAAAACAAGTCTGTTACTGAATGTGTATTCACATTAAGCGAAATTTCATTGAAATCTGCAAGGGTAAATCTTGGTAAATTTAGCAAATGTATCGCAACATGCTAAAAACACTCTTAGCACCTTTACAATTGTAGAGCAACATGCCATTTAGAATCCTAGCAAATGTATTTGCAATTCCCTAAAAACACTCAGAACACCTTAGCAAAAGAACAGCAACATGCTAAAAAATATTCCCTGATAGCACACGTACATCATGGAGATGTCTATTTGCAGTCTATCTGCAAAACATTTTTTTTTACAAGTGTTTGCTCATCTGCAATACGTCTATAGGATGTTTCCTATCAGATGTCAAATAGACGTTTAGAAGATGTCTTTAAGATTTTTATGATTTAGAATTTATGTAAAACTGACATCTTAAAGGGATACTCCACCCCAAAATGAAAATGTTGTTATTAATCACTTACCCCCATGTCGTTCCAAACTCCTGAAAGCTTTGTTCATCTTCGGAACGCAATTTAAGATATTTTGGTTGAAAACCAGGAGGCTTGTGACTGTCCCAATGACTGCCAAGTAAATAACACTATCAAGGCCCAGAAAAGTATGAAAGACTTCGTCAGAATAGTCCATCTGCCATCAGTGGTTCAACCGTAACGTAATGAAGCGACACGAATACTTTTCGTACGCGAAGAAAACAAAAATAACGACTTTATGCAACAATTCGTCTCCTCTTTGCATCACTGTAGCGCCATTATGGAGAATATCCGCTGAACGCAAGCAGCGTACGCTCTTCTGTGTCAGCCGCGTTGCACGGATGTGCAGTTCTCGTTCAAATCAAAGCATAAATACACGTAGAAAATGTATCCTTGTGTCGCGGCTGACACAGAATAGCGGACGCTGCTTGCGTTCAGCGGATATTCTCCATAATGGCGCTACAGTGATGCGAAGAGACACAGAGGAGACGAATTGTTGAATAAAGTCATTATTTTTGTTTTCTTCGCGTACAAAAAGAATTCTTGTCACTTGCCAGTCAATGGGACAGTCACAAGCCTCCCGGTTTTCATCCAAAATATCTTAAATTGTGTTCCGAAGACGAACGAAGCTTTTACGGGTTTGGAACGACATGGGGGTAAGTGATTTTGGGGTAGAGTATCCCTTTAAAGATGTCTATCAGATGTTTGTACACAGCAGATGCTTTCCAGACGAAGAGATCTTTAACACATCTTGCTAACGTACGTGTGCTATCTGGGCTGTAACAACAGTAATGCATTGAAAACACTCAGTACATCTTAGCAAAACAACAGTAATGTGCTAAAAACTCTTAGAACACCTTAGCAAATATATAGAAAAGTGCTAAAAATGTTCAGAACACCTTAAAGCAGCTCTATGTAACTTTTGGCGCTCTAGCGGTTAATAAACAGAACTGCACATATCCCACGGAAAAACATTCCAACCGGACAACCGGAGCTAAGTTTATGTCTATGGCGATTCACGCAGGTATGTGTTACTCCGCAGTGGTGATGACCCGACCAGGCTACCAGGCTACAAATATAAGTACTTATTATAAGTGTACAATAACACAGAAAAAGTTACATAGTGCTGCTTTAACAAGTGTTGTTCAACAAAATGTTAAATATACAGCAACATGTTAAAAACACTCAGATGACCTTAGCAAATGTTTAGCAACCCCCGAACACATTAGCAAATGCATAGCAATATGCTAAACTTGCGATGCCTTTGCAAAAGAATTGCAATGTGCTAAAAACACTCAGAATATCTTAACAAAAGAATAGTAATGTGCTAAAAAAAACGCTTAGAACGCCTTAGCAAATGTATAGCAAGGTGCTAAAAACACTCAGAACACCTTAGCAATCATACAGCTACCCGCTAAACAGCGCTTGTTATCAAATGTATAGCAACATGCTAAAAACACTGGGCACTTTAACGAATGTTTAGCAACTCCCTAAAAACATTGCAGTATGCTAATTGCAGTATGCTAAACTCGCAACACCTTAGCAAAAGAATAGCAAAGTGCTAAAAACAAATACTATAGCAATAGCAATGCATTAAAATGACTCAGACCATCTTAGCAAAAGAATAGTCATGTGCTAAAAACACTTAGAACACCTATGTAAATGTATATTAAGGTGCTAAAATCACTCAGACTACCTTAGCAAAACAATAAGAATGTGCTAAAAACCAGTCAGAACGCCATAGCAAATGTGTAGCAACAGTTCACAAACACCCTAGCATTGTGGTATCGAGTTTTGTGCAAACAAGCCATTCAAATTTCTTAAAAGTTAAACATTAGTTCAATTTGATGAACATTAGTTTTTTGATTAGTTTCAATTCAATGTTGATTGAATGAGTGTCCTGTGGGTCATGAAGAAACGTATCGTACATCAATGAGACAGCCTTTGTAATTATTACTATCAATTACAGCTATTTTAGTGTGGAAGTCCACTGAATATGATTACTTTAAAAACCACATTCAGATTGGGGAAGAAGGAGCTCATTATGAAGGCTAATGGATTCACTGTTGTTGCCTGTCCTTGTAAATGACCTCTTTCTCCCATTTGTTAAATATATTCATGTACCGATAATCATTTAGCACATTATGAATAGTTTTACGTGCCAATATCCCTGAAATGCAACAAGATCATGTTTTACCTTTAATGAATAACTGTGGATGAGGTTAAATATGTCATCCTTCAAATGTTATGCCGTGGAAAGCTACTAAAAATCATCACCAATGAGAATTGCGCTGTCCCGTTTGACCCATATAATGCTGTTAACTCAGGCTTTCTTTGCTATAGGGCAACGCAGTTCATTGATTTTTCCACCAGAATTAATTATCGATCTTTTAAAGCTAAATTAGTGGTTATGTCACTCTGCTGAGTGAAAGGAAAAAGAAATCCATTTGTATGTGCAAAAGAAACATTTCATCCTGTGTTTTCAAAGCTGTGAATTTCTGCCATTGTGAAGCTTAATTATTTTCTTAGTGGGGAGTTGCTTCAGTAGACTGGTCCTATCTTGACAATTACTGCAACTGCAGGTTTTGATGTGTCAATATTTCCCTGTCTCTGTATTAACACTAATCTCTTGGTACGGACCATCAGTCAGGCCAATTAATCCAACTGAAACACCTCCACTGCTGGCTACTGACGTCAGTTGCTTTAAGATCAGTGCTTTTCAACACTTGAAATCCATTGGCTGCCCAAAGAGCTGCATGTCTGCAGTGCCTCTTGCTATGGGTTTGTGAATGACTGACCTATGATGAAGTTTCTGAAATGGAAACATTTCCTAGTTCAGTGGTCTAAGTCAGTGGTTCCCAACCCTGGTCCTGGAGGCACCCCAACACTGCACGTTTTGCATGTCTCCTTAATCAAACACACCTGATTCAGGTCATCAGCTCATTAGTAGAGACTCCAAGACCTGAAATTGGAGTGTCAGAGAAAGGAGACATGCAAAATGTGCAGTGTTGGGGTGCCTCCAGGACCAGGGTTGGGAACCACTGGTCTAAGTAATTGAAATCTCAGTTGTTAGTTTTGCAGGTCAAAATGACCCAAACTGGTTTTAATACAATTCCTCAAAATTATAACTCTTAGAATCTCTTCTGTTCACCACGGCTCGATCAAAAATACAGTAATATTTTGGAATATTATTAGTTTAAAATTAAATATTTTAATACATTTTTAAATACAAGTTATTCCTATGATGCAAAGCTGCAATTTTTAGCAGTCATTACTCCAGTCTTCAGTGTCACATGGTCTTTCAGAAATCATTCTAATATGCTGATTTTGCTGCATGATTTGGGGTCAGTAAGATTTATTAAAATAAATAGATTTTAAAAAATCCACACACTACACTAAAAAATTACACTAAAATCCATGCCAGCATTCAATTCTTAGCTTGCCATTTTCAAATAAAGGATTTGGATGTTGACTGGTGCTCTATTATACAGTATGTTATTGACATTCATTAGGCGGTGGTTACAAAGCAGAGATCTGAAACTATTCAGCTGTGCAAAATTTCAAGATCATTTGTGATTTATAACTGAAACGGAGGCATACGCACGTACGTTTTTTTGTGCATACGTTCGTCCTCTGAATCACACGTATGCACATTTGAGAAATGGTTGTAAGATCAAATGTAGGACATTTCCTTCTGAACATTTTATAAATGAGGCCCGATGGTGTTAAGAATGGCACGCCCTCTTATTCATTCATAGTCTTCACTCACTCAACATGTAATAGATCTGTCATATTTGGAAAAAAAAAAAGTTTTTGTGATTTTGCCAACCTTTAAAAATGGAAAGGTTAGCAAAAGTTATCACTATGAGTAGGTTGATCTCTTATGAAACACTCAAGCTGTTGCTGAACTGTTCTGTAAGTATGAGGCATGGTCATTCATAAGCTTAGCAATAGAGGACAGGCCTTTCTTCCTGTGATGCAGTTCCCCTTTAAGTAAACTCACTTCACAATCCCTTTCACAACTACAGATAATAGGCATTTTGAGTTGAATGGAACATCTGAGTCAAACAATTCTAGTGCTTACTCCTCCAAAATCCCTCCCATATGCTGTGTGATGCACAATAACGCTGCTGTGAGAACAGTACAGTAAGTGTAGTTCTCCTCTGTGAGCTTTCACTTCCAGCATCTCATGTCACTCGCTCCTGTGGAAGTTATTATAGGGATGCACTCAGGAATTTATTTACTAGAAAAGTTGGCAAATACTAAAACCAAGACTCTCTGTGCCAAGTTTCTCAGGAATTTCTGGTATTTTGCTGTTGCTGAGAGTCAGGCTTATGAAAAGATGTTGAGGTAAAGATTAATACACAAAAACCAACAAATAATCTAAATCATTTTATTAATTTAAGTTAGACAGACACTAAACATTGGAACCATGTTGGGTGCTCTTCTATAGAGCACTCTTTAGGAAAGTTACAAAAAAAAGAGTATGTCATACTGTTAACAAACGAAAAAAAAAAAAAATGAAGAGGTAGAGATTTTAGGCTCATCACAGTCGGTGAAAGGCGCCTATTGGAATGTAGTTTAAACTCATGTGTTCTGTCCTTTTTTGCCTAAACATACATCTGTGAAAACATTTCAACGGTCCAGGTTTGAATACACAAAAAGGAAAAACATTAAGTTAATGTGTCTGTACATCAAAATTGCATTATATTCAGATTATAATAAAAAAATAGTTACTGACTAAAACTGGTAGATTACACGAATTTGAAATGTGATGCAGTTTTTAAAATGAGTCAATTATGAAAAAGAAAAAAAATTGTTCTGTAACAAAAAAAAATAAAATTCAGTTAATTCACAAGTTCAAAATGGGCCAAGTAAAACTAAATATAACCTTCAGTGACACAAGAAAACCAAGCAATGCCTACTGATTGACCAACTCGCTCATACATTTACATATGCAAAATACCATAAGCCTCTAGATTATAGAGTAAAAAAATACACTCCCTTCCCACCAGCAGCTGGAAACAGACCAGCGTTTTACCCACTTGTACTTCTCATGACGTCAACAAAGAGAAATGTGGTGGGGGAAACAATGCTAAATATTTCATCTAAAACATCACATGGTTCATAACTGGACCCTTTCGGACACATGAGCCGCTGCCTTTAAATGGATCGGTTTGGGGAACGGAGTGGCATGGTGCCACGCTGAACTATGTAGATAATGTTGGCAGTGTAGAGAAAAGTAAATACAGTGCATGTCTACACACAAACAAAACAAAAAAAGTGACGAGAATTTACTGTTCATACAGTAACATACTGTATAGTTTCACAAAGACGCTAGAAAATGCTGGTGACTACATTACGTAAATGGTTAATTACATGTATGATTTCAAAACTATTGACAGTATATAGATGGATGGTTTCATTAAACAAACCTTTAAAAAAGACACAAAACATAAATCAACAAATAAATCCTTAGTGTAGTACACAGCTTTCTTTGTTCCAGAGGAACAATATGGTAAACCTTTGCATCTGCCAAATGCAAGTGCACCAGTCTAAATGCAGTCTTTTCACTTCCTTCTACCCTCTCAGTGGTCTTATCCTCATGCGGGTTAGAAATGTACCCTTGTGGGTTAGAAACGGCGCCCTCTAGATCCCGTTCTTGGCCTCGTTGTTGTTCATCGCCTCTTTCCTCTGAGCCAGGAAGGGGTACATGCACTTATCTGCACCCAGGAACCGGTACATGCACACGATTGCTTCGAAGGGCAAAATGCTGTAAAAGCCAAAACAAATGGGAGAACATTACTTCTGATTGCTCTGACAATCTGGAGGCATTTCAAAGTCCAGTTTTAGGACTACTCACCTTTTCATAAAGTTGACCATGTATACAATGCGAGGCGTGCAGATCATGGGCTGGTCTGTCAGGATGGCCCTCATGGACTGTTTCACACAGAACTCTGGTCTCAATGGAGGGAGAAATGGCTCGATCTCTTTCCTGACCCGCCCAGGCGAAAGAAAGGAAGGGAGAGAAGGAGAAAACATGATGATTAAGAGTCGTCTTTGTTTAATAAAGTCAGCCCAAAGTGCTTCGCCAGTCAGAGCAAGTCATTACTGAGTGGAAACAGATCCAGCATGCACCGTCTATTCAAGTGGAAGCCCCTATTGTGTGCATGAAAACCCAAGCTGACAGTGACATGAGGCCACAAGCAAAGCTACCCTGACTGTTGTTAAGCAAGGTCTACTTGAACTAGATACGCATTGTGTCATTCACTCTTTTAGTGGCCATCTGAAACCTAATCATGACATTTGGACAGCTCCTTTCTTTTACCTTATTCTGCATCCTCTGAACATGCCCGTGTCCACCAGGTAAGGACACACCAGCGTCATCTTTATACCGTCCTTCTCCGAAGCCTTGATTTCATGGCTCAGGGACTCGTGGAAGCCGATGGCACCGAACTTGCTAGCGCAGTAATCCTGAAATCGAGAGGAAATGGAGTTTAGTGAAGCTTCCCGAGGCGGTTTTCCTGTAATAGCGCGGGAGCGCTGGGATCTACCGTTTCATTAGCATTCTTCTGTCGTGTATGGAGTATAGGTAGAGCGGAGCGGGAGGGTTTTGATGTGGTTTACAGTGGATGGGATCTTCAAAATGGAGTGGGCAAACACAGATGCGTGTAGATAAACACTCTGGAATAAAGGAGCTCATGGCGGCTCAAGTCACTCCAATAATGCAAACCACAAAAAGTTACATTCAAGCAAACATAATAGGTCAGACAGTGTGACAGGGCTTCTGAGACCCTTTGAAGAGAGAGTAAAGATGAGGGCTTGTAAAATAGAAGTGCACGTACAGCTAACAAAACTAAAAAGGTCATGTTTCCCCAAAAGGCTGATGGGAAAATGACACCAATTTGGGCAGCAGTGAAAGAAGAGGATTGTATATGTACCAGACTCTTAACCTTCAAGAGATCCCTCAAATACACAGGCTGGATTAACGGATTAAAAGTTACTTTTTAGGTGCTGGAATAGCCTAAAAAGTTACTTTAATCTATTAAACCAGTCTGTTTTTTCTTTAATGGCCAATCTATAAATCGACTGTTAGTTCAAAAACTTGTCAGATTTCAAAAAGTACAGGTACATGTGTATGTTCTATGTACTGTACGTATTGGAGTTTATATAAGTGTATATCACAGCATGTGTGAAACCCCAGTGCATCATGGGAAATTTGTCTCTGCGGCAGGTAGGCCCAGTGAAACCACTGAGCATCTTTCGGCGTTAGTGTGCTCCTTAATTGGCGTGGAACGCTAGGCGTGCTGTGCGCCGCGCCGAATTTTCATGCCATAGCGAGCCAACGTGCGGAGACTCTCCAAACACGCTCTTTTTCAGTCTGCCAATAGATTTATGTGATGGATGCAATGTACTAACCTCCACACCAGCTGTGCTGAAAAGGCCCAGTGAACTGGCAACTGTCACAATGTGGCCATGGTTCATCTCTAGCATCTTGGGAAGAAATGCCTTGGTGGTCTGGAAGAGGAAGAGAGAGAGAGAGAGAGAGAAGGGGGGGAACAAAGTTATTTTGCGGTTGCTGCTCATCTCTGCCAAAGCCCTTTGATCCGTTTTTTTTTTCCTCCTCCCCGACTAATAATTCACTGAGACTAAACACTCATCTCCCTCATCCTGCTGGGGGAGTTTAGAAACACAATTCCATTGCAGTCTTAAAGGCCATTTACAGGGAGCTTGCTTTCCACATGCACTTAGGAGATTAATTTATGTACAGCTCAATTTGTTTAGGTAGTACTGGTTTTCGAAAAGTTTTCATTTCTGACATGGAGGTTTAACTTGGATGAAAAGCAAACTACTTTAATGGATGAAATAGCACTCCAGACCTTGGGGTGGTTTCGTATTGGTCTGAACTGGCTTATTAAAATGGTGAAAAGACCACTTGCAAGTTCACAACAAGTGGTTTGTCTGTGGTTTCCTCTTTTCCCACAAGCGGGTTGGTCCCAAGAGTGGCATCTCAGTATCAAGTGCACAAAGCCTGAGCGGCGTACTCACTCACCACTGTCACCACAATACAGCTAAAGACCACAACAACACCGCTGTAGGTCAACAAAGACGGGAAACAAACACCACCTTTTTAACCTGGATCAAGCATTAGCATTGGAACAATTTAAGGAATAGTTCACCTGAAAAATCATTAATGACTTCTGAAATTGTAACAAAGAAACTAAAATGCAAGTGTAACCAACGTGATGATCACAGAGTCAAGGAGTTAAACTTGTAAACCAGATCAGAACGAATCTTTTAGGTTTGTAAACCATACTGAAAATTGCCAACTGAAAACAACAATTAAATGAAGCTTGAAATTACTTGAGTTAAAGGAAATGACAGTTTTCTTTTTTGGGGTAAACTACCCCTCTAGGTTTAAAATGTAGAAAAATTAAACAACTTGTAGTTAGCTTGCACTATCTGAACACCGCTGGACTAGATTTGTTAACTTTTTTTTCAGCTGCTCTGACATCCTGCCTGCCTGTTATTGACTGTTTCTTTCATGCAATGAATCAGTGTCATCGTCCACTTACGCCCGATCCTGGCTGGACAAAAGACAGAGTGAATAAAAACCACACATGCCTCGTCTTCCATTCTCTTCAGACCCAGGGGAAGTGAAGTGAGGGGGTGGACACAATAATGATGAAAAACATGACCAGCGTCATCCATTTACGGCTTTCTTAGAGAAGACTTGCTGTACAAGCCCCACAGAACTGCCTGTGGTTTTATAGTCAATCCTACATGGAGCACGAAACATGCTATGAAAAAAAAAAAAAAAAATTATTATTATTATCAATGTTGAAAACAGTTGTGCTGATATTTTTGTGGAAACTGAGATACATTTAATTTCAGGATACTTTGATGAATAGAAAGTGCTTTACTATCACTTTTGATCAATTTAATGCATGTTTGCATACTTGAAAGAAATTGTAATTTCTTAAAAAAAAAAAAATACTGACCCCCCAACTTTTGAACAGTAGTGTTCATTATTAAATATTAACTTAAAATATAATTGTATAGATAATGATAGAGCCAAAAACATATTTCTTAATGCATTTTTTGTTTTCATTTATTAATCATAAGTATTTATAAATCAATTATTATTCATACATTTTTTATTAGAGATTTTATGTATAATTCTGTATTTTTATATTTTATATTTATATTATTTTTGCATTATTTACTACTTGTGACCCTGGACCACAAAACCAGTCTTAAGGCGCTGGGGTATATTTGTAGCAATAGCCAAAAATACATTGTATGAGTCAAAATTATAGATTTTTCTTTTATGCCTAAAATCAGTAGGATATTAAGTAAAGATCATGTTCCATGAAGATATTTTGTAAATTTCCTACCGTAAATATATCAAAACTTAATTTTTGATTAGTAATATGCATTGCTAAGAACTTCATTTGGACAACTTTAAAGGCGATTTTCTCAGTATTTTCATTTTTTTGCACCCTCAGATTTCAGATTTTCAAATAGTTGTATCTCGGCCAAATATTGTCCTATCCTAACAAACCATACATCAATGGAAAGCTTATTTATTCTTATTTATTATGACTGGTTTTGTAGTCCAGGGTCACATTTTATGTTTGTATTATTATTACTTTATTATTATTTTAAATGCAGTGGTGGTCGATCATATTCATCTTCCTTTGTTCCTGTCCGTCTTGCAGACAAGTGAAACGTCTAGCTGAGAGGACGGACAGCAAACCGACTAACTCAGGCACCACTGCTCAGGACTGCAAGGATTCAAAGGCCGTCGTCTAGGAGCTGAACCCACCCCCCGAAAGCCCCCACGACCGCCGCTGCATCCTTCTACACGTGTCAACATGCAATATGGTGGATGTGTCCCATGATACGAAATGACAAAAAATGCATTCTTTGAGTCTATGTGAAGACAACACTATCTTAACACAACATTTATTTACTCTAGAGTTAACTAAAAATAACAAGTAAGTGAACTTAAAAAAAATAGATACAAATGTAATGCATGGTAATGTTAAAAAAATCAAGGGAAATTTCCCCATTTATTAGATGTTTGAATATTATTTTCACCTTGCCTCCAAGTGATATGGATTTAAACAGGCTTATGTCATGCCATTAGTATAAAAAACATTATTGGGGAAAACAAAGTTGTGTATCTTATTTGGGGGGTTATTATTATTTTCTTTTTCTCTTTAGTCTATGAATAATAATGCTTGAGTATTTAAAGATTAACCAATGCCAGTGCTGTGAAGTCGTAGTTGTTGTCTTCATATATAGTCACCCAGCTTACCGTGAATGCTGACATAAAGCATTCATCTATCTATATGGATGTATATGACTTGTAGAATATCATATGCAGAGGAAAAGAAAAACATATACTATGAGTATAAACCAATGGATAAAACTGATGCTAGAGGTCAACAGCACAGGATCACCTATGATACAGCTGATCCATAGTGTCCAGTTGAACAAACAACCCTATTGCCTTCTATAACGCTCCTTGAAATTAGAATTTCGTTAAAGATTCTTGACAGAAACACAAGAGGCCCTGAATAATGATCTACAGGTACGCCTCTTAAGCGAAGTCCTGTTTGATGATTGTTTTCTTCTCCCTTCAGTTTTGTCCAGCACATCTACACCTATGTTGTGTGTTGTATTGACTCGATACATCAACTGAGTGCTTTTAAGGACTGCATTCTGGAGAAAAGAGAGGTTGTGATCAATAGAGACAGGCTGTCTTTTCAAAACGGTCGAGTCGTAAAACAATTATCTGAAGCTGGTAACTCGCTGGAAGAGCGTTTTTCTCTTCCTTGAAGATGTACGGTGTAATAACAGACATGTCAGTTTCTTACGATGCAGTAAAATCACATCAGTTCATGTCGAAACTGTTGGTGTCTGTGGTCTTCTTAACCATTTCTTTTTACATGTTTTAAAATGTGCAAAATCCTAAACATTTTTTAATATTTCCAGGTTTAAATGGGAAAAGAAAATCTTAGATATTCAGTTGTATTAAATGCATAATGTGTATCTGTGATATCGAACACGAGTTCTTAAAGGGACAGTTCACCCCAAAATGAAAATTGTTATTTACTCACCTTCCGCTTGTTCCAAACCTGTATGAGTTTGTTTCTTCTGTTAAACACAAAAGAAGATATTTTGAAGATTGTTGGTAACCAAACAGTTGACAGTAGCCATTGACTTCCATAGTATTTTTTCCCCCATGCCTAATATCTAAAAAAAACAAACTCATTCAGGTTTGGAACAACTTAAGGATGAGTAAATGATGTCAGAATTTTCATTTTTGAGTGATCTATCCCTTTAAGATCATGTTCTTTGTAACTACACAACCATGTTTTCATATTTTCTTGGCAACACATGGGTATGAATTAAAAACCATATGCTCAAGCATATGGCGTAGTGCTGTGTCATACCTAAAGGAACTTTAAGACTCAGTAACACATGAACTTTCATCTATGAGTCTTTCAGCCGTTGCAACACAGCAGTCTAAAAATAGATCCATACTATGAGTCCATTTAGTATCACCAAGGAACCGGTCATTCATTCATAGTCCGAGGAATGAATGATCCCTGCCATATAAATCCAAGCTTAACAATTGGAAAAACAAGTCTGTTACTGAATGTGTATTCACATTAAGCGAAATTTCATTGAAATCTGCAAGGGTAAATCTTGGTAAATTTAGCAAATGTATCGCAACATGCTAAAAACACTCTTAGCACCTTTACAATTGTAGAGCAACATGCCATTTAGAATCCTAGCAAATGTATTTGCAATTCCCTAAAAACACTCAGAACACCTTAGCAAAAGAACAGCAACATGCTAAAAAATATTCCCTGATAGCACACGTACATCATGGAGATGTCTATTTGCAGTCTATCTGCAAAACATTTTTTTTTACAAGTGTTTGCTCATCTGCAATACGTCTATAGGATGTTTCCTATCAGATGTCAAATAGACGTTTAGAAGATGTCTTTAAGATTTTTATGATTTAGAATTTATGTAAAACTGACATCTTAAAGGGATACTCCACCCCAAAATGAAAATGTTGTTATTAATCACTTACCCCCATGTCGTTCCAAACTCCTGAAAGCTTTGTTCATCTTCGGAACGCAATTTAAGATATTTTGGTTGAAAACCAGGAGGCTTGTGACTGTCCCAATGACTGCCAAGTAAATAACACTATCAAGGCCCAGAAAAGTATGAAAGACTTCGTCAGAATAGTCCATCTGCCATCAGTGGTTCAACCGTAACGTAATGAAGCGACACGAATACTTTTCGTACGCGAAGAAAACAAAAATAACGACTTTATGCAACAATTCGTCTCCTCTTTGCATCACTGTAGCGCCATTATGGAGAATATCCGCTGAACGCAAGCAGCGTACGCTCTTCTGTGTCAGCCGCGTTGCACGGATGTGCAGTTCTCGTTCAAATCAAAGCATAAATACACGTAGAAAATGTATCCTTGTGTCGCGGCTGACACAGAATAGCGGACGCTGCTTGCGTTCAGCGGATATTCTCCATAATGGCGCTACAGT